AAATGTTTGGTAAAGTTTACATACGTGGGTGGCGCCTGCATACTTGTTTCAGGACACCTGGAAAGAGTGAGTTTCTGAAACCTCTGCTTATCCATGCTCACGTTGGCGATTACTACTGCCAGTTAGTACTTCAGTTCTGCCAGCTACCGCTGTGAGCATTTCCCAGGCGGTGAGTAAAATGAAAAGCTGATAGGCACCCTCAAACAAGATTGTGAGTAAAAATGAAAAGCTAATGGTAACTGCCCTCGAACAAGATTGTGAGTAAAAATGAAAAGCTGATGGTCACCCCCCTCGAATGAGATTGTGAGTAAAAATGAAAAGCTGATGGTAACTGTCCTCGAACAAGATTGTGAGTAAAAATGAAAAGCTGATGGTCACCCCCTTCAAACAAGATTGTGAGTAAAAATGAAAAGCTGATGGTGACCCCCCTGGAACAAGATTGTGAGTAAAAATGAAAAGCTGATGGTCACCCCCCTGGAACAAGATTGTGAGTAAAAATGAAAAGCTGATGGTCACCCCCCTCGAACCCTAAAAAGATGTCCAGCCTTTCCCTCAGGGATGAGATCCTTAGGGTTGAGGTTTAGACAGCCAGCCCACCCCAGCCTCTCAGGGCTTCTCCTGGGCTCCTGGGCGGCCGGCTGGCCTGGTCTCCCTGGTGACAAGTAAGGAGTGTGTCTGACTCAATCGCCTCTGTCCCTGATCTCAATAGAAAGGGCTTTATTAGTGAGTCACTGGCACGTTTGAAACAAGCAAGAACTCTCCCTTTCCAGACCCTGAGCCAAAACGGGCCCAGGGGGACTTCTGTGCTTCCGCCTGAGGCTGACTCACAGGGCAGCTCCCAACCCAGAGTCCTGCCGGGACGCCTCCCCGAGCTTCCCAGGCAGCGTTCAGCTGGTTCCTGGGTTTCCTGTGTCCACTGCAGCGGAGAATCAGTGGCATCAGCCCTCTCACACACGCATACCTACACACACACACACACACACACACACACACACACGCATTCCTACACACACACATACACACACACACGCATACCTACACACACGCATACCTACACACACACACACACACGCATACCTA